CCCTCCCCCCTCTCATGTGCTCTCTCTCTCTCAAATAAATAAATAAAAAATCTTAAAAAAAAAAAAAAAAAGATGCTTCCAGTAGTTTCTCTAGAGTCAGTCATCGCCCATGACGTCATCACCTGTCTCGGGCCGTCAACTTCGTAAAGGCAGAACGGTGTCTTGCTTGCATATTACTGTGCACCAGTACCCAGAATTATGCATGGCACACAGTAGGGAGTCTCTCAGACCTTGGGGTTCTGAGGAACACAGTTTGAAAATCACTGAAGGATGACCAGATCGTGCCATGTGTTTGTGAGGGAAGCGGTCATATCCCCTTTCCCTGCATTTCAAGTTCAGCTGGAGCTGAGAGCGTCCAACTCCTGAGACCCCTCAGCTCTGCGGTGTCAAGCGTCCGGGTGCCAGTGGCTGGCACAGGCAAGGGATCCTGGAGGGCACAGTCACTCCTCTAAGAAACTCTTTTCCCCCTAATAGTAGATCCAGGCTGGAGCCATCACATCTTGCTGGCCAAAATTCCGGGCTGGCAAACACCACTCCTTCCCCAGGCAGTGCCCAAGGCAGGCATCACCTAGTGATCACAACACACCCCTCCCAACCCTTCTCCATCCAGCACCAAGGATGAAACCCATTTGTCAAGGGGGTGATTTTGAGGTGATTTTGTCTAAGCTAGCTCCTGATGTCTGGATACCTGGGATCAGGAAGGTCAGACCCCCAAATGATGGTGGGGGTTTTCTCCTTCTCACATGGATGTGGGAGTGGACGCCATCCCTGCCCCACTTTCTCAAGCTGACAACGGGTCCCTCTGAGCTTCCTGCACTTTCTTTCACGTATGAGGAATCCCCTGTGCTCCCTGCTGTGGTTCCTGACTACTGTGCTCCATGCATGGACCCGCCACCCTGCTTAACTGTAGGTGGTAACTGGGCGCCAGGAAAGACCCATTTAGAGTGCGGCAAACATGTTCCTCCTAAAAACAACTAATAGAAAACTAACTCTCCCTCACACTGAGAGGGATGGACCCAGAATGGTCAAATCATCCTGTTAGGAAGGTTGGGTTTTGATTTGCTGGGTTCCTGTTCCTTCATCTTTAAGGTAATATGAACCCAAAGGCATCTGGAAGTGGCCATAGCCTGGCTAAGCTATCATCTGTGTCTTGAGGGCAAGGGCCAAAGTTTGGGAAAATACTTCCGCTGACTCCTGCAGAGTACCCAGTGGAACTTTCCATGCAGAGGGTGAACCGACAAAGCTGTAGGTTTACTGCCTAATTGTCACAAGTTAAGTATAATCTATTTTCTGAAAAGTACACATTATGTTTAGACTATAAGTGGAATTATGGAGTCAAGAAAGCTCTGAACTGATCAACTCATACCCAGTGATTTCAGCTGTTTAAAATAGCCGAGGACAACAAAGGAAGCAAAAAAAGGCCCACAAACAACCAAGACAGATGCTATAAAGTCTCACATTAAGATCTGTAGACTTAACAATAGGGAATCCCTACAGCTACTCTTAAAGCTTATTTACTCCAACTTGACAAACAATTCTAAGGAACTCAGACATGCCTCATTTGCAGATAACAGCCCATTAGGAAAAGTATATTTAAGGGTGAGTATATCTGTGGAAGTGGGGACACTGACAGCAACAGAAGGTCTGGTTGGGAGCAAGGTCAAAAAAAGAAAAACCATACTGAGCCTTGTAGTAACTCCAAAAATTACAGTAGTTGGGAGATGTGTGATGTAGGGGTAATAATCCTACCATCAGAGCCCATCTTACAAATGTCATTTTACTAGTAAGGCATAATGATGAGCTGAATCATTTGTTAGAGACAAATTAAATTATGTTCCTCTTTTAAAGAAGGAGGGAAGGATATAATTCATTCCAGAATTTTTTTAAGGCAAGATAGCATATATTCTAAGTGCTTTGAAAATTAAAAGGATAAGCTTTGATCATCAGGAAAATTAATATATATAGGATAGCTTTACCCCATTAGTGGTGTTCAAATGTGTCATCACTATGATAAAAACAGACACCAACACCAAGGCTGAGTTGCATCTGTGGAGGTAGAAAGTATGGACCCCAGGGGTTTGGACAGAGAGAAAAGATGACCCAGGCCTTGGGCATCAACATGTTTGCTAAATCTAGGATATATTTCAAATGTTGACACCAAACCCTAAAATGACACACAGCACCAGGGAACCCTCAGGCTGAGCCTGGGAGACAGCCTGCCTTTCTTATCCATGACGGATGGTCTCACAGAGGGATGGGGGCAACCCACACTAGAGGCCATCATTGTGCTATTTTTGTTTGCTTGATTTTTTTTTACTTAGCAACCCTTGACAGGTGACTCAGAGGCAGGTTTGGTTGTGACTATCCAGGTTCAATTAGTTGCTGCCTGTCTTCGGTGTAGGATAGGCCAGGCCCACTGTGCCATATATTCCTACTTATGATGGAGGATGGAACCAGGGGATCATGACAACACAGTCCTTTGCTGGAAGTCAAGTAGAATGCCTTAGGATCTACATGCAAAGTAATTCAATCTTGAATTTCTAAAACTATATTTTCTGGTATTTCATCTACAATAGCTGTGTGGCTTTAGGCAGTCAGGTCACCTGACTAGGCCTTAGTTTCCACATCATGGGAATCATAACACCTACCGGATAGGATTGTTGGGAAGATTAAATAAGATAATATAAATAAAACATCTAACATGGTGTCTGGCACATAGAAAACACTAAAAAAATGATAGTTAGAACAAAAATTTATATGATTAAGGTCACCCCGCTAGGAAGAGGTTGAACCTGGACTGGAAGGCAGGTCTCAAGTCCCTCTGTCAAAAGACATCCCACCTGACCACACTGTCTCCTCTAAAATGGCTGAACTTAGCCACCTGGTTGGTGGGAAGCAGGCTGAGATAAAAAAACACTGTCTCAACCTCTCATCCATTTTCTCCCTCAAGTGTGTCCAGCAGGTAAGATTGTGAGGGAATCAGCAAGGGTCTCACCGAATCGGCCCACTGGCTTGGGAGCTCATTCTCTCCTGCATAGGACATCCAGGCCTGGTTCCTGTAGGACGAGGGAGGCGTTGGGATGAAGTAGCCGGTAAAGCCAGGTCTGTTGGCAGCTGGGATGGCAAACACTGCCGGCACCGTATTACCTGGCACGGAGGAGATGCATGGGGAAGATTAGACCAGCACCCCACCTCTTGGGCTGGCATTTGCCTAAGCTGGGGGAAGCTGGGAAATGGGGGAACTCTGGCATGGGGAGAGGGGGTAATGAGGTGCAGAGCAGACCTCCACCTGCAGCCCTAGCCCCGCCCACCTGAACGGTCATCTGCTATGAGGCAGACCTGGTTTTCTAGAGAAATGATGGCCCAACTCCCCTCGCCGATCCCCCATCCCCATCCCAACACCCCTGACCTACTGGCAAGAAGGGACACCTCAGTGTCCAGATTTTGTTCTCCCATGGGGAAGAGGTATTTTTAAAAAGGCAAGAAAAGGAACCAAAAGGAATGGATTCCACTGATGGAATTTCTGGAGACAGTGAATGTTTTAGTAAGTGTTAGCAACCGAGTGTTTGCAGTTTTCGCCTAAAAGGTATGCTTTGAACAGACTCAAAATACCAATTAGGGCATGGATAAACCTTGATGTTCATTTCAGCATTGTTTGTAATAGCAAAATACTGGAAACAACCCACATGTCCCTCCTTAGGGAAAAGGATAAACTGGCCTATCATATCTTTGAATATCATACGGCAGTTGAAACAAATGAACTAGATCTACATGTACCTACCCATCTTGAACACAAGGCTGAGTCAAGAAAACAAATGCAGAAGGAAAGGCATACTTTGATATCACTTGTGTACATGTAAAATACCAACAGCATTAATATACATGATTGCATATACATACATATGTAGCAAAAAAGTTAACACCCTCAATTTAAGGATTGGGATTACCTCTGGGAAGAAGGGGAATGATAGAGGGCTGGATAGTTCTACCTGTAATGCTTTAACGGTAAATATAAATTAAAAAGAAACCCTGAAGTCTGACAAATGTTAACAGCTACCCCGACTGTAACACGTATCTTCCTATTTTGTCACGTTTCAGATTTTTTAAAGAAATAGAGCAGTAGCTCTTGTAGCCAGGGCTACTGAAGTCAGACGTAACAGCTGCCTCGATTGCTGAGGATGGCAGGTAGCAGGTGGCGAGTGGGAATGTGGGGGGTGCGCAGTGCAAAGAGCACACACAGCACCCGGGTGGGGCTGGGGTGCCGCGCCCGCCTTTCTCAGCCGTTTCTCCTCTTGCCCACCTGAGTAATTTAAAGCCGACTGATCCAACTGCGCCATGGACACGGGGCCTCGGGACACCTGCGCGAAGGAGGCACTGTCGTGCAGCTGGGCGGGATCGGGCCCCGCGGACTCGGCCATCCTGGTCTTGCTGCCCACGTCCGAGGTGGACCTGGGGGGCGCAGAGGGGCTGCGTTAGCCGCTCCCCACGCCCGCCGCGGCCGCACCGCCACCCAGAAGTTCCCGCCGCCTGTCACCTCGGGGGCCGCCTCTGGGAGCCGCGGCGGCCTCCAAGCCCCACGAGGGTGGGGTCCTCGGGCCTGGATTTGCCCCCGAATCACAAAGGAGGCCGGCGCGCCGAGACCTGGAGCGGCCGTCCAGCTGGAGTGGTGGCCCGAGCTGGAGTCATTTTTAGATATTCAAGGTCAGTGTTCCCCCGAGGGTGGCTCTGTGTCTCTGGGGAGTAGCCCACTTAATTTCCACATAAAAATAAGCCAGGCCATTAGCGGGG